GATGAGATTCAGTATAAAAGATTGTGCCCTCATCTGGCATCTGAAGATTTCACAGGATGGAAATCTGGACAATGTCTTAGAAAAAAGTAATAAAAATTAACAATTCGGCATCAGACAGAGAATGTTCTGCTGGGACTAAGTTCATGCCTGTTACTCTGTTTCCAATTAACTTGATTTTAGAGCAATGGATGCTCTCCAAAAATTTACATGAATAACAAATACAGTGAAAACTACAGATTTCCTGGGGTGTTTTAATTTAACATTAACCAGATGCATTAGCAATAAAGGCTGAATTCAAAGTCTGGTGCCTTAAAGCATTTAAACCATTTACAGTGGAGAACTTCCTATCTAGAAGGAATATGCCCCAAGAGATGCACATGCCTGCTTGTAACTGTTCAATATGACCAATATTTTAGAAGCTTATAGCCAGGTCAAGCCCTATGGTGCATTCATCCATCATTGGTACAAAAATATGGTTATCAAGTTTGCCAAGAAATACGTATTTATAAAATGCTCCCATTAGCATAACCTGCAGGGCCTGCTCAGGTACAAAATCTATTGAAATGGATTTCTCCCTGAAGGAGGTATCCTTCTATTTAGTTACCCTCCAGGTACTCAGTGCCTTTGGCTCTCAAATCTCCCAGTGTTCCATAGTGGTTGGGCAGCTCTGGGTGAAAGGAAAAGTGGTCACAGGGGTAAATGGAGTCAGGGAAACTCACACTTGGAAGAGCACAAGCAAGAGCAGGGCCTGGCAGAGATGGGGTAGGGAGACCAATCTGCTGGGTCATGTTATCCCCCAAGAACAAAGGGAAAAACATTTCAGCCAACAGGAGTTGGGAGAGCAAAGGTAGGGATGAACTTTCATAGAAATAGATACAAATATTCAGGTCTTGGCAGGCACTACTTTGGAGATTCATCTTTCCCTTCAGATATATCTATACATGACTACTCTTTTGGCACCCTCCTAAATCATTTCAAATCAGACTAGCCATGTATTTTGCATGCAAGCCAAGGTACTATACACTGAAAAGAGGAGACTATATTTGAGTAGATTCATGTGATTCACTAAGAACTAGTAACTTCTCATGGAAAACTCTCACTGAGTCTGCTGAGAGCCTATATTTTTTTCCTACTTCCCTGTTCTGTATTTATTAAGGAGATTGGGATGACAGCAAAGTTATTTTTTTCTTGAAGTTCAATTTCTTCTTCTTCATCTAAAATCACAAGCTGCTGACTGTGAAATTGCAATTCCTCATGATGAAAGAGAAAACATTTGCAATAAGACAATAAAAAGGAAGACTATTTAAGGCCAGAAGGAAGCATCAGGTTTTCAAAATGAACAAGATATGGTGCTTGAAGGTATAAAAAATATATTTTCTGAAGCTTTATAAGGATAACTGGATCTTTAAACAATGCTGGTATTTTCTAGCACTTTTTCTGCAGCTTTATGCAAAACCCTTAACACTGGAAGAACTCTCTTGATTTCTCCTACTGCTTTCTGGTGATTACACCAGTCCATTTTAACCATATTCCTGACGCTTTCTAGGAATTCACCTTCTCCTTTCTAAGAATTTATTCACTGCTTCCTAGGAATTTTCCTACTAGTTTCTAGGGCTTCCCTTACATTTTAAAAATCCTGATACTTTCTAGGAATATCCTGTCTGTTTTCTTGGAATTTTTCCCTACACAGTTTTCAGAGAGTATTCTAGGAATTCACATGCTGCTTTTTGGGGATGTTCCTGATGCTTTCTAGTACTTCTCTCCCCATTTTCAATTACTTTTTTGCAGCTTTCTAGAACTTCCCTAAATCTTTTCTGAGAATCTCCTGTCAGCAGTAAGAGGGAGGATGCTTAGTGAAGGAAGCTGTGAGCAACTGCAGTGCAGACAGGACTGGGCTCCATGGCAGCTTCTTGGGGCCAGCAGAGCAGAGCTGGACAGTGGCTGTTCCATCAATAGCCCAGACACTGCCAGACAAAGGTGAGGAGCAAATCGTGTCCAAAGTCAATCCAGGAAATCCAAATGAGTATTCAGGAACAGCCCAAAACAGGGTTTGAAACAGGCACACCTATATGGTGTAGCTCACACAGGCACATTTTGGGGATTAGCAAACACTCTCGTTGAATAATTTCTGCATTCAGTGTTTTGTACAATAACCTTATTAGAAACTCTGTATTCTTTATAAAATGATGCACTTTTTTCTATAAAGTTGTTTTAAATTTTTAACACAGGAAATTCTGAAATGTTAATTTCAGAATTTCCCATTTATAATCCATCACAGAACTGGGATGTGGGCAAATTGTTTCTTTTCCCTCCAGAAATGCATGAGAATTTACTTTGATACAAAATCATTTCATCATAAATTCAATTTAAAGGTATGGCTTCTTGAGTTGTACTTTCTTCTGTTTGCTACATTACTTATTTACTGGTACTAAAATATTTATACCATGCACTATAACTTATTTTCATAATTCCTATCCATGTGGTAGAAAATAATTGTTAGAGGTTCTGCTACAGGATTCTTATACTTGCTGAAGTTTAAAGTTATTTAATACAAGTATTTGATAGGAGTGTTATTACTACTGATGTGTTACTCAGTTCCTTTTCTATTTATGGACAGCTGGCCAGCAAATGTTTTTCAAAATATGTTTGAGTGCCCTTGGATTCACATGGAGTCCAAGCTGATATCTTGTGTGGGAATGAAGAATGATTTTTAAGCTCTGTCTTGACATTTGAGGTGTATCCCCATTGCATAATGAAACATGAGGCATATATTACAAAAAAGCACATTTTTCCTAAGAGCTTCTATTTCTTTAAATTTCATTATTTAGTGTTTCATATTTAAAAGGTGGGGACCAGTAAGTATTTAGCACATACACAGACAAGAGAACAAACCTTCCTACACATAATTTGCCAGCTGCTACACAAGCTGTTAAAATACTTGCACATATAATTTTCACTGCTCTGTGTTGGATGCTAAAGGTTGGACATTCCTCACTACAAAATCACTACTAGAGACAGAATTCTACAGCAGAGGACAGGATTATTCACTGCACTTCAGTATGAAATACACTGTAAATGCTCTTGCAATTCAAATGGTGAAGCAGAAGCCAGGACTCCATAAAATTCTTGTGCCCCTGAGCTGGTTAGTTGAGATGTGTTATGCACTAAAACCATCTTTACAGGATATTTGTCAGCTTCTTTAGACCTCAGACTCTGTGAACTATCCTACTGACCTACATCTGATGTCCCCCAAATGCTGTTAAGATGTGAAGAATAAATGTTCTAATGAAGTTTTACAGTTTGTGAAGGACATGTTATTTCTTTCAACAACTATTTGGACTTTCATGTCTTAAGAACATAAAAAATGTAATATATGTAGTGATAGTTTAAAAATAGGTGTTCTGGTAATTTTGATGTTATGTTATTGGGGGCAGTATTGAGGATAGTGTATAGGAAGGTGTTTAAAACAGTTTATATAGATCTGGCTTTGGAGTCATTCTCACTGAGCTTTGCTACAGGTGCTCCAGGAGAGAAAAAAACGCTTCAATTCAGCTTCTGCTTATGGCCATCTAGAAAGCCATGGCACGGCTTAGTCTTACTATCCTGAGGCTCTTGATGTATTTGCAAAGGCAGTTAAAATTTTCTTTAGTAAATACAATTTCGAATTTCTAACAAAACCTAATTTCCACCTCTTTGCAGACCATTTGTACTAGTCTACAGCAGACAGTAACCCACAGCACCAACCAGCCAAGGTGCCAAATAAATCATACAAAATGCCTTCAAGGAACTGAGGTAGTTTTGAAAATGATAATTTTATTAGCATTCTCCTAAGATTATGGCTCTGCAACTAGGTCAGCAACCTATTGAAAATCAGTGAAAAGCAAAAGCATATAGACCTGATGCTGTTTTCATTTGCAAAGTGATAAACCAGGAGTAAGCCTAATGAAAGCACTAATGCAAAACTCACACAAGTGAATAGAAAATCAAGGCAGAGTTTCTACTGAATTGTGTATTTTTCTCTTCAGAATGCATACTGAGAATACTTTTAAGTTTCCAGCATGTACATGTGAAATAGCTGCAGTACCTAATTTGTAATGCTCTGATTTCATATTCACATGATGAATCTACATTGTCACAACAGAATAAATGTCCATAAACACATGTATTTTTTGCTGTCTACAGAATTCAGAAAAATGAAAAGCAGACAAAACAGCATTTTTGGCATATGAATATGCTTGCCAGGATTTAGGACAAAACATTTCCTTGCCAAACTCTCCTCCTTGCCCAAGTCACAAACAAACATCATAAAATAGTCCTACATAACTGCCAATCAGATTTTTGTAAAAAATCTAATTGAGTCTTTGTGCTATAGACAAAACCATTCTGTTTACCATGTGCCTTCTCATCCTCACTGAATTTGATTACACAACAAGCTCCTAATTTGAAGATCATTGAAATCCACAGAAACATTTCTATGCTTTACAAACTATTTTTTCCCATTTGAATAAGAAAGAGCAAGAAAATCTCATGTAGTGTGGCTTTCTGCAGATTATCAGTGCAGCCAGTGGCAGATCTGTGAAGAACTTAGTGCTCCTTACTTCTCCCTGGGAGATATGGAGCTGGCCATCTACAAACAAGTGCTGCCAAGATTTGAACAGTCAAAAGCACTTTTTGTTTGCTTTCCCTGTTTGTTCTGTAATGCACACAGTGGATGGAAGATGGAGGGGTTTCTGTAGACTTTGGGAAATAACATGAGCTGCAGTGGTCTAAGTGGTTGCTGCCTTCACTTCAATAAAACACCTACCAGCACATAAACTGAGCCTTCAGCTGCACCTTTCTAAATAAAAACTTTCTTCCCACACAGTTCCAATCAGCTGAATTGTGATGCAAAGAACTTTCCAGGAGAGGTTAATTTAAAGGAATGACTTTAATCTCTGTCTTCTCTTTTTCTTTTACAGAATTAATTATTTAAAATTCTGCCAACAAATACATTCTTTTTTCCCTAAATTTTAAGACAAATGTGTAAAAACTAATTTTACTTCAATTAATGGATTTCTAACAGCCAGTTAGATATCACAGTCCATTATTAATTAGTGAAAAAAAAAAAGTATTTTATGCAGAACCTAGATTATCTGAAGCATCAGGTACTGATTTAAAAAAACAGAGTACTTACTTTTTTTAAATATTGCAGGGCAGAGTTATAGCTCCAAAATTCATGGAGGCATTCTTCAGAGGCAGTCTCCAAGAGACAACACTGTTCACCAGAAAGGGAAATAATGCTCTGTATTTCATACAGAGCCACAGAATGGTTTGGGTTGTAAGGGGCCTCAAAGATCTCCTAGTTCCAGCCCCCCTGCCATGGGCAGGGGCACCTTCCAGTAGACCAGAGCTCAGAGCTCCATCCAGCCTGCTTTTGAACACTTCCAGGGATGGAGAATTCTCAGCTTCTCCGGAAACGTGTTCCAGTGCCTCACAGGCTGAAAAGATGAGGAAAAAATTGTTCAAAGTGGACTTTGTAACAAGATGTTGAGAAAAGACCTTAGCTGGCACTGTGGCTTTGGCCTACTCCACTTCCCAGAGCAGGCTTTGATCTGGGGCTTCACAGAAAACAGCACGAGTGAAAATTACCTCCCTGAAATTCACTTCAGTGTCTGCTGGTTATAGCCCTGGAAAGTCAAAGAGGGTAGATTATTTCCATTTTAAAGAATCCAAAATTAACTTCTTCACAACAGCAATTACACCACTGCAATCAGTAATGGGGTGATTCACGTTTGGATTGGCCCCACAAGAAATACTCAGTAATTAATAAATTCTCATTTCTTTCTTTTTTGGAATGGGAAACAAGATGACTTTTCACACATAACTCTGCTCTTTAAAGTTAAGATAATTTGCTGTGCCTGCTGTCCCTGTCTTCCAGCAGTTGCTAAAAAGCAGGCTGTGATGCAGCAGTGCTGCTTCGGAGGGGCAGGTAAGTGGCAGCTGCTCTGTCTTGGTTCCTCCACAGTGCCCACCAGAAGTGTGATTGTAGCAGCTGCAATCCAGGTTTTCTGTCAGCTGCTTTGGATACCAAGAGCAGCAGTGTCACAGCCCAGCTAAGCCTTCAGGAAGCCAAGTGCTCCCCTGTGCAGCAGCCCCTGACACAGAAAGGCTGTGTGCATAGGCAGAGCCTCAGAGAGCTGCAAATCACCTGCCCCAAGGTGCAGCCAGAGCCTGAGGGGACCCTGAGAGCCCCTACACTCACCTCTTCCACTGGCTCTACTGTCACGTGAGCTGAAGCCACCAAAACTTCAGGGAAAAACTCAAATGTTGACTCTCAGCATAAGTTAACATAATTCAAGATGTCTAGACTTTATCTGCACATCGAAAATATAATTTCTTTTAGTGGATCTATGAAGATGTGACAATCTAAATAATACACGGGGTGATTTCTGCTTCTGAAGAGTACCTGCAGCTGGGCCAGATAGTGTCGTGATCCTTTCATTACAAATAGCTTTGCCCTCCATAAAACTCCTGGATGATACTTATCCCTTTGTGAAGCATATTCTAGTTAACCACTTGGTCAGTGGATGGATAAGTATTTTTTTCCTGTCTTACTTGTCCTGAAGGAAAAAAGAAAAAAAAGGTCAAACAACAAAAAACAGGAACAAATTCTCCTGATTATAGCAACTTTCCAACATGTGCATTAATGATACATACAGTAGACATTATTCTTTCTATCGACCCATGATTAGTATCTCATACAAATCATAGGCTTTCAAGAGTTTCACTCTTACAGAAATGCAGAAATGAACAAGCATTTTAAAAGGTTGGATTCAGAAGCTCTATATGGCAAAAAAAAAAATTTCTTTTCCTAATGAATGAAATGTAATTAAGAAAGAAAACTAGAAACAACAAACAACAACAAAAAGTTAGTGAAGGAACTATCTTCCTCAGAGAAAGCTTTATAAACAGAGTAGATTTTGGAAAAGAAGGAAAAACATAAAAAAGGAATCTGTCTACTGTATTGAAGAGAAGAGTGTTTTGCCTACATTTTTTGGTAAATAAAATGGATTTAACCAATTAACTATCTGGCTCTGATCGAGAATCAATCTCGTTTTGTCATGGAAACAGCTTGTAAAACCCTGAACATATGGAGAGTGCAGGCTGACGTCTGAAAGTTTCAATAAAATACTCAGTACTGTTACATCTGAGAACTGCATATTTGCCAAATGACAGAATGCAAGAAATTGCTGCTCCCTCTTGTTTAAGATGGATTGTGAGATGTCCTTACTTGCCCTACCAGGCAATTTGCCAGCATGCTTTGAGTCCTTAACACAGTAGTCACTGGATTTCTGCTTTATAGCAATATTTAAAAGACTTATGGTAAAATAGAAAGTGATTTCTCTGTGTTTTCCAGCCTTAGATTATTCTCCGGCCAGCACCATAACATATTCTTTAGGCAATCTTTACAAACTGATCCCCTTGCTCTGCATTCATAGCACTGGTTGAAAGTGAACGAGGCACTTTGCATCCCAACACATCAAACCATGGGCCAGCGCCAAGAATTAAAATCCTGACCCAGACTTTTTGAAGAACAAGGGTTGGGGCACTTCCTCAGATTCAGCATGAAGCCTTTGTTTCCATTTATAATCTGACAGTGGATGAGTATCAAACAGAGAGAAAGAAAAGAAGCTGAGGAAGGATGGGGACGTGGAAATCCAACATCTCTCTTGGACTTGCACTTGCAAACAGAAGTCCACACAATTTGGATTTTCATTTCTGTGAAGTGGGTGTTTTTCTGGTTTCTACATTCTTATCTCTAAAATGCCATGGATTCACAGTTGCATAAAACACTTCAAACTGAGCCAAAGTCTGAATTTAATTACTGATCAATTCTGTACAAGCTCATCAGTACTATCAGGAAATCAGCTCTTTGCCTATATAAAGGCACAACTCTATTTTCTGTCCTTAAAATCTACTGTCAGACCTTACTGACTAACACTGAAACTCACTATGGGAATAATACTTTTTTAAAAATAAGAGATGTACCATGTAAACCACCAGAAAAAAATTATGTAATCCTTAGTATGCAAGGTTGTTCAATAATATTTTGCTTTCTAGGAAAAAAAAAATGTTTTCTTATGGAAACTGTCTTCAAGACAAACATAGTTATGCTATACATGAACAGAAAATTTAGTAGAGTGATAGTCATATTTTTAGTTGTTTAACAGCCCTGGTATATCCATCTTCTACTCTTGGCAGCATAAAAACATTAGTGCTCCTGGCAAATATGACTTAGTAATAGTAAGTTACCATTGCTGAAGTGACTCTGAGCTGATGAATATACATAGAATGAAATAAACCCTAATAAAGATCCTATTAAGGAACACAGACATTTCAGTTATTGATGAAATTTGTACTAATTCAGCACTTTGTGCCACCAAATTCTACTCTCCTTTTATTCCCTAAGGCTGGAATTGCATTAAGAAAACTTAATTTTCAAGAAAATACAAATAAAAAAAATAGAGGAGGGAAACTTTGGTACACACAGAAAGTGCCAAGAGCAGCAATATTTTTGCTAGTGTTTTAAAAACAAAAAAGATAAAAATATTTTTTTTAACCTAGAAGAAAATGTTTTCGGCAGACTACAAAGATGGGAAGTACTCGCATTCCTGGCGGCATCCTACTGCTCTGCGCAGCGATGAGAGAGAGGAGCAACACGATGGCTGCAGGTGAATGTCGGAGATCACTCGATGAGGCCCGGGGCGCCCAGAGGTGCGGGCCGGTGTCCCTGCAGCTCCCTGGGCACGGCGGCTGTGAGAGCAGGGACAGCTGTGAGAGCAGGGACACGGCTCCCAGGGACACCACAGCTCCCGGGGACACACACAGCGGCTGTGTGAGCAGGGACAGCCCCTGCTCGGCCCGGGGAAGGCCGTGCGGACGGAGAGGCCTCACAGGCCCGCGGGCCAGCCCGGGAGCAGCCGCCTGAGAACGGCACCACCACTGCTGTCCCCGCCGGAGCCTTCCGAGTGCTGAGGGAGAAAGAGCAAGTTTAACTGTTTTAACAACACGCGTCTTCCCTTTCAGGGATGCACTGCTGGAGAGACAGGTGCCAGCTGACAGCAGAGATTTTTAAAGCCCTGTTCCGGCTTTTTTCCCTTCCCAATTCCACGGCATTCGCCCGGGCCCGGCCGGCCCCGCCCTGCGCACAGGTTCGGCCATGTCGCTCCGCGGGCACAAGGTGGCACCTCACGAAGATTATTTTGGCTGGTCCGTGAGTTTTATTGCTTTTATCAAACAACCGCTTCATTCCGTTCTAATTTCAAACCGTTTTAAATAAAAAATTGGTGATGCTGGTGAATATTTTACCTAATTTAATGATTACTCCGTATTTCAGAAATCCAAAGTTTTAAAAAAAATTATGATTAAACCACCCGATTTCTTCAGAGAGTGTAAATTAGTCAAAATTTGTCTGTCACGTTCGTAATTTGGGATCAAAATTTTAGCCCCCCCAATTCACATTTTTGCTTGTCTTGTAGGTCTGTTGCAATTTACAGACTCAGAGAAATGGGAAACTCTTATCTCCCAGTGCGCAGGGGCAGCATGGGAGGAAAACACGAAGCCTGAGCTCTCTGTTCCCATTCTTTGGCTCAGTTGGTACAATGAGTCAGAAATGAGGCACCGGAGACTGAAAGGCAGAGAAATGAACACACTGAGAGAAAAAGGCAGTGTCACTTGCAAAGCAGACAGTGTCATTTTGGCCTGCTGTAGTAGCAGAGATGCTGTGATGGACAGCATTTACGGTTTAAAAACTCTGTGTATTTTATCCTCAGGGTGGTAACTCTGAGCTTTCTGATGCTTTTGACTTTGAACTTGGAGTAAAAGTTCACCCTTGCAGAGGGTGACCCACTTTGAAAAGCATTCCACTCTACAGCCAGACAGAAAGCTTTGCACAATTTTGGTACCAATATTAAAGAAAGCTGAAATCAAGCTAGAAATTATAGTCAAGGGAAAGCTTAGTCTCTCTTACAAGAGGAGGCTCTAACACTTTCTTTGCTTATCATGATAGTACAAAAACTGTTCTTTTTTTTCTTTAAACACTTCAGGGTCAGGGGTAAAAACCTGAGCATGGAAGAAGCTGAAAAGAAATGCCTCCATCTTAAAGTAAGGGACAGTTGGGAAACCAGAAGGTTTCTGTGTGGCAAGCCAGAGAAGGTCCTCCCAGGAGAGTGCAAGATGCAGGAATCTTTATTCATTGTTAAGCAGACCTTGATAGTTATAGCTAGGAGAGAGATAACAGGACAGAAATGCCTGCAATGATCCAGGGGCAGCATCTGTTCCATATTTTCACCTGATGACTGCTCAGCCACCACTATGAAGAAGGGCTGGCTTGGAGATTTACTGCTAAGCCCTGGGGCTGGCAGATAAAATATGGGGACAAACTCTGAGGCCTGTAGAATATTCAAAAGACATGCAGAATGAAAGATCCTATGTTGCTTTAATGGTTTGTTCCAAAATACTGTGTACTTCAAAGTACTGACTACGCTAACTCTTCTAAGATGCTAGTTACACCCTAGCAGCTGTAAACTCCTTTCTAAAAAGTTTGTTGTCCTTTTTGCCTCAGTTCATGTGATTATTCTAGTTTCTAGTAATTAAGATTGCATTTCATGATTCTCAACCTTATTCAATTAATGTTTACAGCTTTCCATGCTACAAAAATAATACTTGTCATTATTTTAATTAAATTATTCATAAATGGCATTGGTTCCACTTCAGATGTATGTGTAATGAGAACAGGACCAAGGAGACACATAATTAATCATAAATTTTGATGTATTTTTTTATGTTAATTGAAGATACATGGAACTGTTCACATTAAATGCAAATTTTTTCAAATTATCTTCCTGCTTTTTTGAAAAAACCAAACAACCCAACAACATTTCTTCAAGCTAAAACATGGAAATATTTTTTTATTCATCTTTACACCTCATTTCAGGCAATTTTTTTCCAGCTCTGACATGAGAGGTCTGAGAGTCTCCTTGCCCAGATGCCTTGGTGTGCTGCAAAACACACTGAGAATAATTTGGAGGCTGCTTTTTTCTTCACCATATATACTGTCAGCACTGTGGCACAAAACATGATCAAGTCTGAATATTCTGTCTTTTTACACTGCTGTCCAGGGCACATCCCAGCATATGTAAACTTTATTTTCTTAATATTATTCCTTCCAGCCAAAAGATTGACTGTTTTAATAGCGCAGTAGTAAAGCAATGGGCCAAATTCAGTCATTCCACTGAGGCCAGTAAGGCTTAGCCAATATACAGTGATGTAACTGAGCCATTTCTGACTCACACCAGGGAAATCAAGGCAAATTTGACCCATGTCCAAATGGTAAAATGCATTGGGACATTTTCTTTCCTGCAAGTTCATAATCTCACCGGTGGAAAACATGTCAGTGCAAGCCCATGCTGGATCTGCTTTGGGGGATAAGAGAAGGGACCATGACTGGGCTGCAGCTAAAAGTGAGTTTGTGACCTGCCTTGTTCATTTGTTGTAGGACTGGGACAAAAGATCAGAAAACCTTCCCACCTGCTCAGTCAGGACGTGATGCAGTGACTTGCTGTTCTGTTAAAAGTGGGGGGTGGGCTGCTTTTGAAATACACTGAAATATGATCCAAATTTGAAAGAACATGAAAAGTTTCACCTTGAAAAGCTGGACTTAAAATTGCTCCCTTTCCCTTCTGAGCACACACAAAAACACCTCTGTTATGAATAGAAGCAGTAATCTTTTGTCTTTGCTCCTTCTTCCTTCTCAGAATCTACTTTCCACTTTGATGTCTAGTTTAGGTCCAAATAGTTGCAATGAAACTTCCAGGCACAACCCAAAGGAATAGTCCAACTGGAAAATGGAGAACAGATTGCTGAGTGTTAAACAGAACTTTGCTGTGCATTTAGTCAAAAGCTTTGCTGTCAGGGTCTTAAGGCAAAAATGTGTCCTGAAACAATGAAGACAAGCTTTAGCACAATGTGGCACAGGGGTGCCATCTAAAATTAATACATGGTAGTTGAGTTCTTACATTAAAATTGATAATTTTCACTGACAGTGGCTAGTGGGAAGGAGGAGGGAAACAAAAAAATGTCCATCTCTAGAGAGTAAAGGTACATGCACATTTACACACATCACGTAAGAAACTATAATGCAAAACAAAACCAACCCACAAATAGCTACAAATTCTAGGTCACACCAAAATGCATGGCAGACTCTTCATCTTTTTACCACCAGATTATTTCCACAGCTAATGAATGAAATGTACCTTCTACAACAACTCACCGCACAGTTTAGCTGCAGAATCTCAGGCATCTCTCCGCACAGACTCCCCAAGCACGGAAGTTATCCTGCCACCTGCACTCCTCCTGTGTTTCTGTGTTCAGTTAATCATTAACCATTGCTAATCCACTTTCCTATTTATTGATAATCACTGTGATGCTAGATAATCAAGGACACTAGAAGAACCTATGGCAACCTGCATATAATTTAGCATGAAGGAAGCAATAAGGAACACCTAAGAGTGCTAGTGGGAAAAGGGCCTGGGACCAACAGTGGGGAGTACTGGTTATGATGTGTAATTTGCAGAAAATTAGGGACAACAATTAGAGGAGCTGTAAAATCTCTGTTTCCACAGCCATGTATTTCAGATGCTTTCTTTCCTGATACAATTGGAATGTACAGATCATGGCTATTTGCAAATTGTATTTTTTCTGTTTGGAATTCTCTTTGGAAAGAGTTGCCAATATCCAACCTTCTTTCCACAAACCAGTTATTATCAGATCATATTCAAATAATTGCACCTTTATTTTTTGTGACTGCTCTAATGTTTCCTCAGTGATTAATTAGGCCCATCGGGATATGTTGGGTAGTATTTTATTGTGTAATGGACGCACTGTTGAGAAATCATGACTCACAACTGAAACTGATTTTTTTCCACATTCTGTTACTAATTTCTAAGGTTATTGCTCTGATATATTCTACCAGCACCCTTTGCCTTTTCTTAAATGTGGAAGTCAGAGCATGGGGATGGGATGCCAAGTCCCTACGCCTTTTTCCTCTTGTAAAGCTGTAGGAACTCTGCCTGGCAGCAGAAGCATTAGCTGCATTGTTCTCTGAATTCCTATAGCCTGTTCAAGATCAGAATGTGGTTTCTCATGAAAAAGTTACTTTTGTTCTTTCTGTTCTCCTAGCTGTCTTTCTTAGACAAAAGTGCATAGCTGTTATTTGTGTTTGCCTAAACAAAAGAGTGCCTGAACTGAAGGAAAGGGGCAGTCACTAACAAGCAGCAAAGGATTCGAAGAGACAGCCACGGTCACAGGCCTCATCATATTCAGTTTCACAACTCTTGTTTCTTTTATCTGTTGCTTTTCTTGAGATTCTTCTTCAAATCACACACAAATGAACTTCCATCAGTTTACCTCTCCTAGAAGGGATTGTGGAAAATGGTTGATAAGACCTGCTGCTGTTTAGATTTCATCTCTCTTGTTATGTTTTGATAGCAGGACAACAGCCTTCAATTGGATCTGTAATGTGAGCATTTTTTTTGCAGCCCTTGCTCTACTATAGCCTGATGGTTAAATTATTTCTTCAGACAGGCTTATGGCAATTTGATGACATATGAATGCAAGGAAAGGTCAAAATTTGACTCCCAAAGTCTACAG